TTTTACATGTTTCATATGGGGGGGGTTCAGCTGAGAATGTACTGGTGCAGGGGGGCCTTGGCATGGGAAAGGTTGGGAATCCCTGGTTTAAACATTCAGTTCACCAAACAAAATGTGGGGGGCCAGTCTAGTCCAGGGCCCAGGTCCCAGTCCACCCGGCGCTACGGCCGCCTCTCTTCTTCTATGTACGGCTGCTAAAGGCCACAGGAGAATCAGCTTCCTGTCCTCAGAGCTTCCTGTGGTGAAGGCTACAGGTCAAAGGTCAGCGGAAGCTGCAGTGGTGCTCCTGGTGCTGCCGTAGGTCCACTTTGTGCTGGAAGCTGTAGTGGCAGAGAGCGCAGCGGTACGGCCGGTCGTCTCTGTGCTTCCTGCTGTGCGTGATCAGGTTGGAGCTCTGGCTGAAAGCTTTCCCGCATATCTGGCAAACATGCGGCTTCTCTCCTGGAGCAGAAACAGAGCAGGTGGATTAAACACAGAGAAATGATGAACGTTTCTAAAAGGTTGGCTCAACCATCATGACGGTTTTACACTGGAAACATGAAACTTCCACTAAAATACTTTAAACATCTGTTTTTCTTATTTCTAAATGTAATGAAATCAAGTTTTGCTGAAGCCTTTGAGTTGATTGACTGATTAACTGATTGTCTTTATTGATCTAAAAATGGAGAAATGTAGTCGTTATATCATAAGGAGAAGAAGAAGGTGGCAAAGGTGCATGATGGGATATATGCAGCATGTTAGTAGGACGCAGGTTTACTGCGACAGCCTGCTGCTCTAAAGCTGAGCGGTAACTTTGATATTTTCATTTTCAAAAACAGTTGCACATTTCAAATACTTTCATAAGCCTGACTTCTAGTTAGCTATTTGCAGCGCAGACATGTAGATAACTTTATCTGTCAGGAGCAGCTGTGAACATCTCACTCCAGAAAGTCATGATTAAAAGGAGAATTAATGCCGTTATGTTAACTTTAGAGCAGCGGCTTGATGATAATGTTAGGGAAGGAAATAATTATATAATTGCATCCGATAGTCGAGCTGCTTTATTAAGTAACACATTTGTTGAAGATTAGATTCATTATTAGGTATATATCACCTATTAGTTCAGCTTCATAATAAGAAATCTTTGTTGATTTGTCTGGATTCCTGCTCATGTAGGCAAAGGAAATAAAGAAGCAGATATATGAGATAAATGATACCATTAAGGTATAAATTAATAACTTCCCTCTGACATGAGCGATGAACTCACTCCAGTCTGGTAGGTGGCGATAAATGCACCTTGAGTTGGTTGCCATGCGCCAATAAAAAACAGAAGAAGAAGAAGGTCTGACAGCGAACAGGAAACATTATGACATCTGCTGAGGTGTGGAAGCATCATGCTGGAGACATTTAAGACTCAACCTTCCATTAAAGGAAGTTAAAAACTGAGTAGAAATAAGAAACCAATGAATGTCTAGATGTGGAAAAGTTTCCCCTAAAGGCTCGGAGCTGTGAATGCATTAATTATTAACAGGAAAGGAGCTTTTTTCCGGCTGCTGTCTGAAACATCTGCTCCCAGCGGCTGATGCAGACCTACCTGTGTGAATGAAGGTGTGCTTCTTCATGTCCGACTTCTGGTGGAACCTCTTTCCACAGTACTGGCAGGGATACGGCCGCGTGTCCGAATGTATCAGCAGGTGGGTGGAGAGGGTGGAGGAGCGCTTGAAAACTTTCCCACACACCTCGCAGCCGAAGGTCTTCTCCTGGAGGTCAGAACGGCTGAAGGTCAGTGATGCTTTCAGAAGGTAAGGCGTCTGTAAAGCATGTGTGGTGCCCACCTTGCCCCTGTAAGGAGACCGCCTATTATCGGCCCTGCTGGCCTTAAGGTGCGCCGCTTTGCTCCCATGACTTTTACATATGTGCGTCTTTAAGCTCGACAGAGAAGAAAAAATCTGAAGAGAAGATATGAGAGACTTTAAGAATAAAGAAAATCACTCAGCCTTCACCATCAGGAAGT